CCCTAAACCCTAAACCCTAAATCCTAAACTCCAAAACCCTGAACCCTAAACCCTAAATCCTAAACTCCAAAACCCCTCAAGGCCCTTGGGTACTCTCGGCTCCTCTGGGGCAAAGCCAGCGGCAGGAAGGTCGGAGAGCTCGTTGGGCAGCGGGCAGAGGACCTTTTGGGTTTCGGGGCTTAGGTTTTAGGGTTGAGGTGTTTAGGGTTGAGGGTTGAGGGTTTGGGGCTTTGGGTTTAGGGCTTTTGGGTTTCGGGGATTAGGATTTGGGGGTTTGGGGGTCTAGGGTTTGGGGTTGAGGGTTTAGGGTTTAGGGGTTTAGGGTTTGGGGTTCGGGGGTCTAGGGTTTGGGGTTGAGGGTTTAGGATTTAGGGGTTTAGGGTTGAGGGTTTCGGGTTTAGGGTTGAGGGAGGTTCAGAAGGGTTCCTAAAAGGGTTTCGATACTGCTTATTTATTAGTGGGTGTTTATGGGGATGTAATATAGAAGTCTGAATAGTTAATAAGGTTCAAGGGACTTCGTAAGTAGGGTTATGAGTTTTGGATCTGGCTTTAGAGGTATAGGTCACCTTCATTCGGCTTAGAAACAGTTGTAACTGAAAGGTACCTTACTAATAACCCTTCTTCCTGATCCTTTGAGGATGGTCTGCTTTGTGGTTCCATTAGGGCCATTGGAAGGGTTACTACAAAGGTGCTGTGAGGAATACTATCGATGTCTGAGGATGGTGTAGAGGCTTTTGGGAGCTGTTATGGGATTTTGGTGGTGGGTATACAAGAGTACCTAGAAGCATCTTATCAGGGAGCGGTTTGTGCGGGGTCTTTAACATAAGTGCGACATACCAATTCCGACACCAGGTCTCAGAGTTACAAAGGGTGTTATGAGAGGATGAGGGGTACCACGCGTCAGAGGAGTAGGCGTTTGGGGGTCTAGCGGCTTAGGGTTTAGGGGCTTATGGTTTCGGGTTGATACCAGGGTAGGCTTTACTGTCTCAGGTCATTCAGATATGCCTCGCGCTGAAGAAGATCTTCTGCAAGTACGAGGGATGTGCTCGGGTCGAGGCTCCAAGGAGATGATCTGCAAAAACCCTGCATCTGAAGGTTTAAACCGCCTATCTGATATATGTTCTTGTTACACTGAACGCATGTGCCGTTGAGTGTAACATGTGGTCTTTGCACAGTACATCAACAAGAAACCAAACGCGGGGCTTTCAGACAAGAATGTCTGTCTTCGTGCTTCGCATTTAACCATCGAAGACGGCGACCACTACCAAGATCACCACAAGATGCCGACAACGACAATCCAACTCCTTGGCGAAGTAAGCACTTCGCGCAACCAGCCCGAAAGAAAGTTGAAGTGACCAAAGCCACCTCCCAACACGAAAATGTAGAATTCCTGGCGGACGTGCCTCAGACTCTTTCAAGGCGTGGCTGCTCAATGGCTGCGTGGATGCCTGGCAGCACTGCTTTTGAGCACCCGAGGTTTGCAGCTCCGTGCGCTGTCTTACGACTACGTGGATGATGACCCGGAAAGTAGTGATTCTGACTGGAATCGCGTTTGCTGTAGGGGCCTAAATAATTGCCAATACTATTTTGGGGGTTCCTCATTATACTAATCGTATAATGGGTCCAAAATCCATGTTCTAATTGTTAAGGCCCTATATTAGGAATGGATGTCAGATTTCGAGGTAACGAACCGAGTGGCAGCACAACAAACTTCCCTCAGAGTCCGCTTGACAGCCCACGACATTTTGTAAAGTATCACTACCATGACCACAAAGGATGATAACGATTTGATTATTCTTGCTGTCGTTCGTGTTCTATTACTACCCATGGGTACGAATCTCGGTCCAACAACAAGATTTGGGCCCAGGCTCAACAACAGGTGGTCCATGCATCATCACAAGCATAAGGAACCCACTATACAGTCTTAAGGCGGTCCTTTAAAAAAACTCTACAGAACACGAACCTGACACCCTGAAGTTCAAGAAATCCGGGGGCTCATGGTGTAAGATGATCTTGAAGACCTGAGCCAGAGTTGGGCTGCTTTGCTTTTGCTGGACCTGCGCATCTGCAGTGGCACCTCTGATTGAATCCGTAAAGCCAAAAGCTCCTCAATTCGTACTTGAATCAGGCTCAATGTAGTCTGAAGAATACGCAGTCCTAGCGGGAAACCAAGACTAGTTTATGCAGCAGAAGCAGCAGCCGCAGCTTGAGCAGCAGCAGCAGCAGCAGCAGCAGCAGCAGCAGCATAGATGTGTATGCGCATACGGACCAGCACACACACTCAATCCCTCAAACCCTAAGCCACAAGAACCAGCCAAACAAGCGGTGAGATATACTCCGGCGCAAGACTTACCATTTAGGCATTTGGGCCAAGAGCCAAGGGGTAGGATTTTGGTTGGGTGGCCCTCTGGCTTCCCGACAGCTTTCCGGAGCCTCCCCGAGCCGTCAGGGTTTAGGGTAGCAGCGTTCGGGCTCAGCGCGCTGCACCAAAAATTGGGGCCTTAGTAATTAGAATAGGGTCTTGGGGCCCATTCTATTACAATTGTGATAAGGAACCCCCAAAATAGTATTGGTAATTATCTAGGCCCCTACATTACCACCAGATGTGCCGTCCTTGCCTGCGCCATGGTGTGATAGGCGCCACAGTGCACGCTCAGGCAGACCCTGTCCAGAAAGGGTTTAAAAAGGGTTGCGGGCTCGGATTGCGTGGGGGTTGGGGCTTGGGGATTTTAGTGTGATCAAACTGAGCAACCACTCTTGAGTTGATCGGGTGGAGGGGCTGTGAAATCGCTGGAGGCGCCAGGCAGTGGCAAGAAGAATGGGAGCAGCCGCAACGAAGCTCGTGGTCGGAATTATCATCTTTACAACTTGTTGCTGCTGCTGGCTGTTAATTGCGTCAATCGTGCTGGCATTGTCTTTGTCGAAAACACCGAAACCGTGCGAAGCTTGAATTTTGACACATACACGAAGCCCTAGATCCTAAGTATACCTGAACACGAAAGGTTCCGCCCTGAACACCATCGGGATTTGCCACCTCCTTTGGGCGCGCCTCTTGCGAAAGGGCCCACGCAAGCATCGTCGTGGCCAAACCTGTTCCGACCCGAGCGATGGCGAGCCAGTGCTTCGCTGTTTCCGAGTCCGAATTGGTGTTGGACTGGCGGAGATACTTGGATGCAAAGAGCTCCGTAGGTAAGCACAAGTAGGCGTTGCATAAAGTTCCGGTTGCTTCTAGCCACCCTAAACCCTAAACCCTAAAACATACAAGCCTTACAAGCCATACTCATTCCGGGTCCTCTAGGTGAGGTCTGGGGCTTAGAGCTTCAGCGATCCTTCCAGCCTGAAGTCTAGGGTTTCATATAGGGGCCTTCATAATTAGACTAAGGTTGGGGTATATTATACTATAATTACAATAAGGACCCCCCCATAACTGCTGGCCCATAACCCTATTCTAATTATTAAGGCCCCTATAGTGGTCTTGGACTTGGGATGAAACTTCACACTGCCCTCTCATGGCGTCTGTAAGACTCAAGCTGGAAGTATGGGAGTGGCCTGCGTCACTCCAGTAGGGTGTAGGGTTTAGGGTTTAGGGTTTAGGGATATCTGGCAGAGGCGTGGCTGGGGAAGTCCTGATGACAGTTGGGGACATGTTGCGAGGATGCTACGAACGACGGAGCAATCATCGGGAAAAGGGGAGTGGTATTATCACCCGAAATGGGCCGCAACGGTTGTTTTGGTGGTACCACTTTGCAAGGATCCAGCGCTCTTTTCGAGAATCCCTGCTGCGGCGGGAATGCATGCACCCTAAGCCGCAAACCCCAAGCCCCGAACCCCAACGCTAAACCCTTAACCCTCAACTATAAGCCTTAAACCCTGAACCATGAACCCTAAACTCAAGCCTCAAACCCCCGACCCCCAACCCTAAACCCAAAGCCCAAAACCCGGAACTCAAGATACAGCAAACCCTGGTTTCCAGCGCCTGCTGCCAGGGCTGAGACTGACCAGTGGTCGCGAAACCTGTCTGGGAAGTTCAACCCTATACTTACCTGTAACCGAAAGGACCTACCTTTTTAGGGTTCCTTATTATGGTTTCTTTATAAAGTCCTACCTTTTTAGGGTTCCTTATTATGGTTTCTATATACAGTTCCTTAAAAGGGTAGGTCTTCTCGGCTACGGGTAGGGTTTAGGATTTAGAAGGCTCAGGGACTCGGGGCTTCTAGGGTTCATTAGGAGTTTTGCTCTGCAGGGCTAGAAGCAAAGGATGTAGGGGCCTAAATCATTAAAGTAGGGTTCTGGGTCCCTTTTATAGTGCAGTTATAGAATGGAACCATTAGGAATAACGGTGGTAACCCTAAACCCTAAA